TAGCGAGTTTTAGGCCGATAACTCCCAAATCAGAAAACTTTAGAGTATTAGGTTTTAAACCCTTACAAGCTTAATCACTAGAGGCATAAAGGCTACGAAGAGATGATTCACAATGAAATTATTATGATTATCCTCGTTGGGACCATTATTTTTTTTTTTTGTAACAATTAGTGCAATGCTTTTATCAAACACCTATTCTCGAAAATTGACCTCTAACTTAAGATTTTCATCCAATTTTCATCCTATTAGTCTCAGACAGTCCACACAACAAATTAGCACACAAAAAAACCATCCTATATTTGATTTAAGGGTACAATGATGTTTATGGCTGTTTGGATTTAGTATTTAAGTTTCTAATCCAACCTATAAATATGAATCAGCTTACTCATGTGCAACGCTACAATCAACTCACGTGAATAAATATTTTCCATTTCACACAGATAACCAAAAGTCTAACATGTAACTTATCAATAATCCAAAAATCAATACATGTTCTCAATAGTATACATCATTGCCCCCAAGGTTATCTAAGTCATACAATCATGTAAAACAAAAAATGATTTTTTTTTTATTTCTTTTAATAGTGCACAAATAAGAAAAATAAAAAAAAAGTACACAAATCACACAAAATAATAAAAAAAATATTTAGGCAATTAAATAATTTATGATACACCCCCAAACTTAAAACTAAACATTGTCCCCAATGTTAAATTAAAAGAAAAGGAGGAAAACTTCCCTGAATTGTCTGAATTGCCAATGATGGTTTGGTGCTATGATGTTTGACTTGATTGATACTTATTCCAGTTTTCGCCCCAAACATATTTATCTAGTTACTCCTCATCATTGTTGGTTTGAATTTCCACGACGTCAAGTTCCCAAAAATTCAAAATGTAGATATTAAATTCATGGAACAAGTGTTACTTAGCTCGAACATCTAATAACCAACTTGACCACTCAAAGACCTACTGGGGACGGGGTAGAGCTGATGAATTCTTAAATTAAAAAAAAAAAAAACTTTGTAATAAAATAAACTCTCCTATAATTTAAAAGAAATAAAATAAAATAAAATAAGTGAAAAGGTAAGAACTCTTGGGTTGCCTCCCAAGAAGCGCTTCTTTATAGTCACTAACTTGACTCAACTGCAATGCCTATGGTGGATCCTCAGGTGGCATTTTTTCTTGTTTCTAAACTTTACCCTTGACTTTGTATTCTCCTTCATTGTAAGATGGGAGCAAAATTAGGCAGTTTTGACCCCAGTATGACCTTCAATACCTCTTTTGTTTTGGCAATGTTTGGAGGTTTCAAAGGCCTATCCACATAGCTCTTTTTTTTTTTTTTTTTTTTTTCAGGTTTTTTTTTTTTTTTCTTTTTCAGGTAGGTCAGCTTCTTGGGCTAAGATGAAATCCACCACCTTCTTGGTTTCTAAGTCATTACCATTAGTAGATGCATCTCTTGCTAAGTAATTGCCGTGTATTGCACTAACAAATCATAAAATAATTCCCAATTTCCTCTGTTTCCTGCAATTACTTCAGTTGATTGGATCAGTTTGCAAGTGTCAACTTTTCCTTTTTCTGGGGCTTTTTTTTCTTGATGGATGTTGAAAGCTCTTCATTAACCCATAATGTTAACTTCCCTACTTGTACATCAATCAATGTTCTTCTAGTAGCTAGGAAAGGTCAACCAAGAATCAACGGTACTTTCTCATCCTCCTCCATGTCCAATACCATAAAGTCCACCGGAAAGATGAACTTATCAACTTTCACCAACACATCTTCAATAATGCCCTTGGGATATGTGATCGATTTGTCCACCAGTTGCAAGGTGAGGGTTGCGGGTTTTACTTCTCCAAGACCCTGCTTTTTGAACATTGAAAGGGGCATCAAGTTTATGCTAGCTCCAAAGTCACACAGTGCTTTATCAAATGTGATATCACCAATATTGCACGGGATGTTGAAGCTACCCGGATCTTTCAATTTGTGAGGGAGCTTCTTCTAAAGTATGGCACTACACTCCTCTGTCAGCTTAACATTCTCGAACTCATCAAACTTTCTCATTTGACGTCACTTCCTTTAAGAACTTGGCATAGTTAGGCATTTGGGCCAAGGCTTCTGTAAAAGGAATGTTGATGTAGATTTTCTTGAAGACCTCCAGAAACTTTGTGAATTTCTCGTATACTCTTTCTTCAAATACCTCTACGGGAATGGTAGTGAGGGCTTCAAGATAGGTGGGTTGTCCGAAAATGAAATTGAGGGCT